CCATGCTGCACTGGCTGCCCATCCGTTTCCACATTAACTTCAAAGTGTTAATGCTTACATATAAGGCCCTAAACGGTTTAGGACCCCGATACTTGACGGAACGCCTGCTCCCACTTAGATCTACTCGGATCACCTGCACGAGCCAGGAGGTGAGGCTGAGGAGCCTAACGCCGAGGGAGGCCCAGAAGGAAAGGACATTCCTCCGGTGATTCATGCGGCCCCTACGCGTGGCACTTTTAAGAGTCAACTAAAAACATGGTTGTATGTTCAGGCATTCTCTCCTGTCAATATTTAATTCTTTCCTTATTTTTTCTTTCATTTATTATTTGTTTTATTATTGTATGTGTTATGGACTGTTTGTAAAATCCTTATGTTTTATTGTATACACCTTATTGGAAGCCGCCCAGAGTGGTCGACCAGACCAGATGGGCGGGATATAAATCAAATAAATAAATAAATAAATAAAATATTCCTGTATGATTGCTATAGAATGAAACATATACCCCCAAAAAGTATATTTTCGTTTCATTTAGAAAACACAGCATTGTGAATATGCATGCATAGATGTGTGTTTATACACATATAAGCAAATATATTTACATAGCACTTCCACATTGTGTGAAACATGCATGTACACACTCCTCTGTACCTGCAATGCAAACAACAACTATAAAAGTAGAAATCACATTACACCGAATCATTTCAGTCACAACATGCCCTTTGTGTTCCTTCATGGGCTGAAAGTTATTTTACCCGCCCCCACATCGCTGTTTTACAGGGAGAATTCCTAGAAATGTGTGTTGTTAGAAACAGATGTTAGAAATAGATGATAATCCAAGCTGAAAGCATATTCATGTTGCAGATAGATAACTAAGGCAATTGTTCTTTGGTTGTCCAAAAACTAGTGAAATGACACTCAGGTGTCAGATAAGACTTTCCCTCTTTCATTCAGTGATATTTAATGCCTGTTTCGGGGCTCACATTTGCCATCTGTGTTGTATTGAACAAGAACCATAGGGATGGAAAGAGCAAAGGGCTGGAATTTCCCCCATGTATTTCATTTTTGCTCCTTCGTCCACCTTGAGGGGGTTTAGATAAAATATGGAAAAGCAACGCCCATGTTTGATAGACGTGATAAATATGTATCTTCATTGAAATATCTCTATCCTCTACAAATGGAGGCCGTAATGAGTTATGTATTTTATACAACAATAATCGGATTAAAACAATAATTTAAAAAGAGTAATATCTTAATGTTTAAGATTAAGATATTACTCTTTTTGAATGATTGTTTTAATACTGTTATTGTTGTATAAAACACATAACTCATTACGGCCTCCATTTTTAACAAGTTCTTTTTGACACAAGCTCATGTGGACTTTAGTTTACTTCAGAACCATTTGAAGAGGGCTAATGTCCATGGAAACATGCTTCACATGAAAGCAGAGTTGGAAATGTTACTTTTAAAACTACAATTTCCAGACTCCTCCAGCCTGTTAGGGTGGCTGGGAGATTCTGGGAATAGTCAGCCAAAATGTAACATGTTAAAATTTTGAATAAACATACAGTATTCTTCTTAGTGTCCTGTGGGAATCTCCCCCGCCCCACTGCAAGAGGAGATTAATAGAACATCCCCCCTGGGAATAAGCATTTAAATGCATGTGCATTCTCCTACTACTGAACAGTTTGGTTTTGCAATTGATTTACAGGCAGAGCTTTTCTGTTTGCCCTTGTGATGCAGGCCAGTGAGAAGCGAGTTCAGTTCACTGTGTCTCGGCAAACCAGGCCACAAACCCCTGACATCTTGCAGGAGGCTGGCTGGGATTATAACGGGAGCCATCCGCCCTTCCCGGTTCTGAGGAAAAATCCTAACAAGGTGAGGCCTACTACTCTTTTTTTCTTCTTCATTATCATTTATTCTGTGAAAACAAAGAAAGGCAGCATAGGGAGGGAGGTGGGTGCATTAACTAATGTGTTGATGTCTAAGTATTATCTCTGGAGAGTATCACCTCAAACAGCACATTTTAACTTTATGGTGTAAATAAAGAAACTGCTGGCTCTCTTTGTTTATATATACTGGGAAACTGCTGTCTAGAGAATAGAGGGTGGAAGGGACAGGGCACCAGGGTGGGAAATAAGTGAGAGGAAGTGGAAGAAACTCGACAGAACAATTAAAAAATAATAATAGCCATTTCTCCCCCAGTATTCAATATACACAGACATGTTTCTCAGCAAAACATTATGCACTTGGAGAAGATGGTAGTGGAGGAAGGGGTTTATCTGCATTTTCTTCATCTGGTGGGAGAATCTTGAAGGCAAGGCTGTTACTTTCCAGGACTGGCTTCAGAGATTCCTGCTGTCCGGTAGAAAAGATTAACAAAATCTATCATTCTGTCCATCAGTGTGGGGTTAACTGTTACCAAAAGAGATGTGAAGGTGGAGCTGTCTGTTTCTTCTATCTTTGGAGACAACTGCTCTGATTTACTAAGCACAGAGAGGTTAAGAAACTTATAATTCTACAGCAGTGTTTTATACAGTGGTGCCTCGCTTGACAATGTTAATTCGTTCCAGCGAAATCGCTTTAGAGCGAAATTGTTGTCAAGTGAAATTAAAAAAACCCCACTGAAACGCAGAGAAAACTGTTCAATGCGTTCCAATGGGCAAAATACCTCCTTGTCCAGCAAAGGTTCTCCTTACGGCGGCCATTTTCTGGTGCCTGTAATGTGAGGAATCCGTCCCTGACACAGCAGGGAGCCATTTTCTACAGCCAGTGGCCATTTTGAAACCCGATGATCAGCTGTTTGCTTATTGTCGTAAAGTGAAAAATCGGTTCCCGAAGCACAGAATCGATCAACGTTAAGCAATATTCCCCCATCTAAACATTGTTTTGCGATCGCAAATGCAATCACAAAAACTTCAACGTTAAGCGGATTCGTCATCAAGTGGGGTAATCATCCAGTAAGGCACCACTGTACTCTTTTTCTTTAACTGTCAATTATAGCATTGCTTGAAAAACAGTAAAGCCAGGCCTCATGTGATAAGTGACAAGGCTAGCTCAAGATATGTTGCTACTTGAGGCAAAGATCTAAAGCCAACCAAGTTAGTTTTGCAGAAGAGATGGAAAATCCCTCAAGCAAAATACTGTAAATAAATTTTGGGCATCTCATGACACTCAAAATCTTAAAGCCACTGCATCATTTTGCCTAATGGTTTTGCTGATGATTTAGGCTTAATCAGACAGAGCATTTGTTCTCCATACTGAGCTATTTTAGTGCTGGTCATATCAGTCTTTTTCCTGCTATAAGGCTTAATCTGGTATAATCAGTGACAACATCCTGGATTTTGCACACTTTTTTTTCTCCTGAAAATCGGATTTTTAAAACTCTTAGTTCTTTCTGACAGCAGAGTTTAGCACTATGGGGCTTCCTAATGCAGGTTAATTTCCTGATCACAATTTCTCAGTCAGAAGCAATGCACCCTCTAATTTTCAGCCGCGCTGGGTGGGGCTCCGCCTCTCTCATGCACAACCTCTTCACTGCGTGTGTGTACAACTCTGCCCTCCCCCCAGGCTGGGTTTTGTCGTGACCAAAACTAACACGATTGCTGCACGGAGGAGGAAGACAGCTGTTTGCAGGGAGGCAGAAACACCAGTGAGTGCCGAGCTTAGCAGGAACCTTGGTCAGAAGCTATTATTAAGCCTTCAATTAACTGTCCTGCCCCATTCCAAAAAAAAAAAAAAAAAAAAGCTCCATCAGGAAAGCAGTATTTTTCATATTTTGGAAATAATCTCAAAGATATCCACAGCAGAAGTGGTCTTACAAGAAGTGCCTTTTTGTAGAGCAGTGTAGATACAAATACAGCTCTCCTTTAGGCCAAACCATGACCAATTATGGCAGAATTGTTGCCCCATCTGGATAAGCCCTAAGGTATGAGAGCTCCCAACGCCAAATTCAACTTGGCACCTTAGACTGACAAACAATCTGAGCAACTTGTAGAACAGGCATGGGGGGGAAGGAGCTTGACTTGTTTTTCCCCATTTCTCTCCCTCATCCATCAACAACAGCAGGTTAAACAAAAAAAAAAAAGTCAAGAGAGGCCTCTCTTTACTTCATCCTCAGTTTTTATGGCTCTCATATAAGCCATTCTCCAGCATCAAAACCAAGGATGGAATTATGTCTATTGGACATACTTAATAAACTTCCTTCCTTCCTTCCTTCCTTCCTTCCTTCCAATGTTCAGTGGGAAATCTCCCAGACAAGCTAAACAGAATCAAAACATTAAACTATTAATACCTGTATAAAAAGCAAAATAAAATACTGTATATAGCTACCATCAAAAAGAACTATCCACCAAACTAAAGCTCTTCTTTGAAGCTCAGCATCACAAAGGTCTTGACCAATTTAAAATTCCTTCCTTCCTTCCTTCCTTCCAATGTTCAGTGGGAAATCTCCCAGACAAGCTAAACAGAATCAAAACATTAAACTATTAATACCTGTATAAAAAGCAAAATAAAATACTGTATATAGCTACCATCAAAAAGAACTATCCACCAAACTAAAGCTCTTCTTTGAAGCTCAGCATCACAAAGGTCTTGACCAATTTAAAAAAAAAACCTCATCTAACAATGAATGATATCATACTCATTGTTAGGAAAAAAGTTTCCAAATTGGGGTGGTGGTGGGGACATAAAAACTGAGAAGGGATTAACTTCGGTCACTTGTGTGCACCTTACTTCTGAGTAACTAGAAGAAAAGTCTCCAAGGAAGATCTTAGGACCTGTGAATTTTCACATGAAAAAGCCAAAAGTTTAAATTGAGTTCTAGTTTTCTTTTAACACAATTAAAGTGGGTGGTTCTAACCTTTAGAGCCCCAAATTGCTTGGATTCCAGGTATGATTAGGATGTCATATTCTTTGTGTATCCAGATTCTCCCAAAATGCCCTTACCAATGCCATTTGTTGAGGGAAAGATAGAGCCTTTTAAGACATGGCGCATCATATTTGTATCTTCAGAGGGTGTCTAGCATTGTCTTTGTTTTCTATTTCACCTTTGGATTTATTTATTTTTTTAATTTGCCCAGACGGTTTAGTCGATAGTTATATGGAAACTTCATCCATGGGTGTTTTTCAGTTTCGCAGTTTTATTGTGTTTTATTTCTTAGAGTTTTAAACTTTAATTTCATCTAAGGTGCTCTGCTGATAGGAAACCAAAGTAATAGAGTTTCCAAATAATTAAAATACGAGCTCTGCTCCATTTGTAATTTTATGTTGCTTCATCAAAAGATGCTGTGGCCCTTGGAACCTGGAGCTGAGAGATGTTGGGCACTATTAAAATAAAATAGCCTTTCATTTGTTCCTCTCTTTATTGTTCATGCTAGTAATGTTAGTGGCCACACATTGACAAGCTGATAGGCTGTGCTTGACCCCTTTTGACCTCTTCTTTTGAGGTCACAACTTAAGAGGAAAGTGGATGCTGTTCTGGGTAACATTAGCTAATCCCTCTTGTTTACCTTCTTTTTGAATTGGCTAGAAAAGGAAGATCTCATGCTGCACAAAACACCCTGTACATACTACTCTGTGGTTTTCTTGATCTTTCACTTTTCCTTAGCAAAATGAGTCAACACTCTTACAGGTCCAAACAAAGATGGGAAAATGTTTTTTCTCCCAGATGTTTTTGGACCAAATTCCTGCAAACCCTTATCATTGACCATGCTGGGTGGGGCTGATGGGACTTATAGGCCAAAACAGCTAGAGGCCCAAAGTCTTTACTGGTCAGCCTGTCTGGTTTGTACGAGTACATAGCATTCATGCCCTGAATTTGCAGAGGAGGTTTTAAAGTCCTCCAGATATTTGGGCCTACAGTTCCACCCAATGCTAAGGGAACTAAGGGGCTCTGGTATTTATACTCTAAAGTAGCTAGAAGATAACAAGTTACCCAGCCTTATCCTAAAAATGCTTGTCTCAGCTGAGCTCCTGAAGATCAGTGGTTAAAAATCTAATATGGGCAATCTTAAAGGAATACAATCTAATGTCTGTACTTCTTTCAGCACATAATATTCCATGTTCTTACTGCTGTGAATGAAAATCCAGCTGATGCTGAAATAAACTACAGTACATGGTGCATTTCTTTTCTGATGAGCTAAAGAAGACGCCTTGCACATCCTCAGTTTGATCTCCTCTGATGTAGAAGAAAGTATATCTTATATATCCATAGTAGGAATTGCTGAAGGGAATAGCTACACATGTCAAGAATTATTTCTTCTCCAAACATGAAAAGACTCTGCTCTAACAGTTTGAAGTTGCTAGAATGTTAGCTTTTCTAAGGCCCTAATTTCAGACACTATATACAGTGACAACAAAGTGAAAGCAGGATGGGATTTTGGTGTTTTAAGTATCCACTCCTATAATCCATTTAGAGTCCCCCAGACCAAATTATGGGAAAGAAAGCCCTCTAACTGGCAGGAGGCATAACAGTCATCTCACCTCCCTGCAGTTCCCATTCTACTTCTCTGTTGCACCGGAAGAAAAGTGTCCTGTGGCACTGTAGGAGTCATGAGGATTCTCTGCAGCTTGCAGAGGTTCATTGAAGGGCACTGGAGGCTATCTTCATTGGAACTTGCTCTCCCATGCACCTTAAGATTTTGCAGAGAATCCTTACAGCTCCCACAATTCAATCAGGCACTTCTCTTTTGTCTTGACAGAGAAGCTGTGTGAAAGTGGCAGGGAGGTGAGAGGTTCTACATCCTGCTGGTTTGAAGGCTTTCACTCCCATAATTTGGTGTAAGGGATTACCACTGAATTATGAGTGGAAATCATTAACACACAAAAGCCCCATCCCTACTTTGGCCTTCATCATGCTGCTTCCTACTGTATTCTCA